CGACGTGCCGCGCAAGCAACGACAAATGACCCATTGTTCAACAGGTAGCGGCTCACATATAGTGTCAACGGGATCAGCTGACACGCTGCAGACATGGCTGACATCATGTCTGCAGCGGCCGTCGGCGCGCTGCATGAGCGCCAGAGGGAACACAGGGAGACAGTATAGCGGCTGGCCCAGTGACACGATACGCCGGCGTGCTCGGCTGCCGCGACGCGTCGGACCCGTGTGTTCCTGGCACGAGAGCCACGGAGAACCGCACGTCTGACTGACGGGCGTGGAAACCGCGTCGAAGGCGCGCCGGGAATGGATGCCAGTGCCACTGAACTGATGGGATCGTTTTTGTAATACAATTTGATAATGGTCAGAATTGGCGTCAATTGGCTTTACCTAGTTTTTGGATGAGTGTGGGACCGGTTTGTAAAACTATGGGACATTTGTATGATTATTGACGGTATCACTTCTCTCACCCTCTCTCTCTCCCTTTCCCTCTCTCTCTCTCTCTCTCTTTCTCTCTCTCTTTCTCTCTCTCTCTCTCTCTCTCTCTCTCTCTCTCTCTCTCTCTCTCTCTCTCTCTCTCTCTCTCTCTCTCTCTCTCTCTCTATATATATATATATATACATTTTTGGAAATTGTAGTGTTGTGAAATAAAGCAGACCTTAGTGAGAAATCAACGCGATTAAATAATGCACGATGAAGTGGATTGTCCAGATACAGCCCATTCATATTTCATGAAATCCACTGCATCCGTATCGGACTTCATCAAGGGAATCCACTCCCGAAAACATACAACGCTTTTTAGCAAAGCGCTGCCCGCTCCTGTGACTCACAGTTACTACCAATATGACTCCAAACGACCCGGGCACCGCCGGTCGTCTTCACCCGCGACCAAACTGCGCGCGACCGGGCGACCTCTGATGTAAACACGACCGGGACCAGGCGGTACTCCTGCCGGCGGGAGCTCCTCCCCCCCCCACACGGCGGAGGACGCCGGTCCCCGTCCGCCGACCCGGCATAAATACCGCGCTACGGCGGACGCCACGGAGACGTCACAGCGGTGCTGCGGCTCGCTACAGTGGCGCTACGGCAGCGTCTCGGCGACGTTACGACGGCGCTACGGCGGCGCTACGACGGCGCTACGGCGGCCGGCCGAGCGCCCCCCCCCCCGCGACAGAAGCGCTGCCAGCGCCGCGTTACACGCCCCGCTGCCGACCCCGGCGTCCCATGCATAAACATGTCGGAGAAAGTGTTACAACGCGAGCAGCCGTTCTGCCTTTTGATGCGTTCCGATTTAGTCTCCGGCTTTGCGACTTTGCGCAAATTTCTCGGCACGGAGGCATTTGCAGGACCCTCTGATATTTTAAACAACGTCTTGTGACCAAGTGACTTTGAGGATACTGTAGATAGAACACTGACACGGCTTCAGACCAACTGCGCGTTTGTGAGCTCAATATCGACGTGTTTGCGAGCCGGTATTTGCCAATATCCTCGCTGGGTTTGCCTGGGCTTGTGTACATGCCCGTGCCCGCTATATTGGCAAATGACGTTAATGTTGGACACGTGACTGATCGGTAATATTGCGCGAGAGCAGCGTTAGTTGTCGGCATTCTGATAAATAACGGCGAGACTCACGTGCGTTGCGCTTGACTTCTTGCCTTTCTTAAAATAAGTTACTTAATTTAAGGCTCCTAATCGTAAGTTTATATTCGTTTTGTGCTTGCGATTTTTGTCGCCTTGTGCTAAAATTTTTACTAACTCAGTGTTAATTAGACAAAGTGTTAATTTGTGCCCTAAATGCCTTGTAAGGGTGTGATGAATGTTTCATGAAAGCTTATCGTGTAACGTTATTCGAAGCGCTTTATAAATTTCTGAAGCTTTTGCATGCGTAGCTGCAAGTCAAACTCGATCAGCCTGATATGTGTCGCCTCTAACGACTGGCTCGAATTAAGCAGGCTCCAACATTGTTGCACAATTGCAAGTGCAATTCTTCTTCGATTGTCGAAGTGCAATGTATTGTCCTGTGTAATTCTTTGGGACATTTTAAAACACTTAACTTAGCAATCATTGTTTAAAGCGACTATTGCCTTTGAAAACATATCTTTCACGCACGGACGTGACATTCATGGCTCGTAACCTTTGTTTCCAACCAGTGCTAAGGCAATGAGTGTGAACTCTCAAATGCATTGAATTTCGACCAGAAACGCAATAACTGGATCTCATCCCGTTTGAAAATCGACCTCGGCCTATGTAATGAATCATGATATGCGGGTGCACCGCATAGGCCTTACTATTGCCGTTGACGCAAGGTAATACTTATCCATCTTTTTAAAATTCCTCGCTCCGTATCGGGATGCACTATGGCCAGCTCGACCTTATTACATACTAACCGTCTGATCTGCGCAGACGCTTGCTGCGATACATACTGCGTCGGTTTTGAAGGCCTGCAAATGCATCATTATGGGGAGAGCTCAAAAACACTTATTGTGAGGACGGATACCCCGGCGACCTCTATGGCAAAGTCGGAGTGGTGCGAGCTAGCGAGCGCCCTATTCTATGATTGATTGTGACAGGTGAGCTCGTGCATGCCAATGTCTGACCTAAGCTCTTCTGCAAAGCAACACGATGCCCGTATAACACAGAAACGACACCGCGTCCCCCGAACTGCGGCTCGTCTTGGCACGAACGCATCCAGGCAACAGACACCTGCCCCTCCCGCTCCCAAGCTGCGCTCAGACCCCGTTCCGGCGCGCGCTAATCCGGCCCGACGGCGCCGAACCTGACCTGTTACGCCACCGTGACGCCGCCCCGCATCGGCGGCCGCCGGCGGTCCTCAAACCGCGCGGGTCGGCGGCGGTTCGGGAGCCGCGGCCGGCGGCCGGGGAGCCGGCGGGCGGCGGTGGCGGCGCGCGGCGCTGGAGCGGCGCCAGCGCGCCGGCCGGCCGGCCGACTCGGCTCTGACACGGGGCGCCCAGGAATGCCGCGCCGCCGCGCCGCCGCCCGCTGCCCCGCCGTCGTGTACGGCAGCGAGTAGTCGAGCCCCGCCGCGCCAGCGACTCTCTGGCGCGGGCCGCGAGCAGGCACATTTCGGGAAAGCGCCGCGATGTCGCAAGTCTGGGCGACGCTCTGGGACTCGCCGCGTGCTCGGGTCGGAGGCGTGGAACCCGGTAGCGGGATGTAGTCGGAAGGACGTTCATCATTGACCTTAAATAGGTGCTTGCATTCGCTTGAGAACGACGCAACTGATTTCACTAGAAGCATACCACAGGCCGCTGTCTCGCATTCCTAATGAATACCGCTGACTCTTTGATCCTACCCCCTCAGCGTCTAACCGGGTCATGTGCCGCGGGCGACGTGTGCCGATCCCCCGTCACACACACTCGCCTTGTGACCCTGACATGTGTCAGCCCGTCACGGCTTTGCATGCTGGCGAGCTGCCCTTTAAACCTTTACGAGCGGCTGGCAGGCCCCGAAAGCTGTAGCATTCGCCAGAGACGCCTCACTTTGGTGATACTGGCTTAGGTTAAGTTTACCGGTTACATAACACTTTCGCGGCCTTCAAATGCACGTGGATAATAGGAACCTGAGCGAAGTGAACGCCACTGGAGATCTAGCAGAACACCAAATACGTTCCTCTGTCTTCACGCGATGGACGCGCATGGTTTGGTTTTATCAGACCTTCATCCCAGGTCTGTCCAAGCATCCGTCAATCGAGGAGGTATGATTGAGCAACGGACCAAAGCAGCACTGATTAAAACTCTGGTTTATAGGCATGAAAAAAATGGGACCGGGTGTCTCAATTCTAACGAGATGTAAGACTCATGCTGTTATGTACGCTGTGTGGAGCATATTAGTTTTTAAAGATAATTATGCGCTCGCTTAGAAATGGCCTATTCTCCAGGAGATCAGGACTTTGTTTTACGCGCCAAGTATCCAAACAAGACGCTTTTCAATATAATACAGACGCATACAGCATTTTTAAGAGCCTTTTTCCATGCATGCGTAAAAGGTTTTAAAAATTGCACTTATGTAAAGGACTCGGCAAACGCAATTTGCGTTAATGATAAATCCTTGTACGAAAATGCCGGGCTACTCACCCTCGAGGGCTGTTCTAAATTCCATTACCATAATAAGAGCTCAGCTAAGCGCCCGTCCGGCCGCTCTGAAACATTACGGCGGAAAGCCGCTCTGTCCACGTATGCTGTGCCGCAAAGCATTCCAGTTGCGCGGCACAGCGCACGCTTCGCTATTCAGGCGGCGGTTGTTCCAGATCACGACGTTGAAATGACCATGTACATGCCATCGGCGCGGTCAAGAGAGCAGTTCGTTTTGTCGTCACGTGGAAGAGACTTGGCGATGGCGCTCCGATTACAAACGTCTCTATGCCAGGCCGCAGTTTTCGGGAGTGATGCACATGATGCACGGATATCCAGGAGCGATATTCATTGTCATTTCGTTTCTGCACTGTCACATGCCAAGAATATGCTGATGCGTGCTAGGTATGGTAAAATTGGTGCTATAAGGCAGCTTTACTTGACCTAAGCCGGTAACTTCGCCACGGGCGCAGGGTTTTGCGTTTCGTCCGGAGTAACGAAAATGCAGACACAACACTACATTCTGCAACAGTAATTGTTCCTTACCCTGAGGAGAGCCTATGGTCCAGACAGGCAATGCAATCTAGTCTCAGTAAAATGGCTCTGATTTTATGATACTGCAGTTTTTATGCCACTGGATGCTTTACGTGACGTATAAATGGGATTGTTTTGCACGACACCCGACCGCCAGCTCCATTTTGCCCACATATTAAGTGTTGTCAGCATATTTCACCAACAGTCTGAGTGAACAAAAGTCTGGCGTGGGACGGACGCTCTTCCTCACTGACCTCGTCTCCTCCAGCAGGAACGCACCAGGGCTAGTGGCCTTTCCTGACCTGACCCGTCTTTGCCTTCAGGCACGTACCAAGGCCAGCGACCTCTCCTGACCTGACCCGTCTCCGCCCTCAGGCACGTACCAGGGCCAGTGGCAGCGCGGCTCACGGCACGGCTACGGCGTGCGCACATCAGCCGCGTTCGGCGCCGCCTCCACCTCCAAGAGCAAGGCGCACCACGGGTCGGCCTCGTCGCTCAAGTCGGACCCGCAGGCCGACCCCACCTCGGAGCACGACCGGCGCGTGAACGAGACGCGCGGCGGATTCGTGCTGAGGGCGCGCTCGGACGAGCCGCCGCCACGGCGCGGCTCCATGGTCGAGAAGAGCACCACACTGAGGAAGAACATCCTGCAGGTGCGGAGTCGGCGGCGGCCGCAGGGAGGGCGCGCGCTGGCTGGGCTGTACACAGCGACACGGTCATGTCTTTGGTGTGGTCTGGGGTGTTGGTGGTGCTAGGGTGGTGTTGGCGGCGCCTCCCACACCTGGAGATGACTTTCTTGTGGTCGTCCTGGGATCGGCAGAAATCTTTCAAACAATGTGATTGCGATAGCTCGGTCGAGGTCTCTGTGACCACGAGATGGGCGGGCCCTGGTGTGCACGGTGCCTGGAGGCGCCACCAGGTCGGCGGCCACGCACCGTGATATGACGTCATATGCCCCATGTGGTCTCGGCAGGGTCTCCGTCTGCGTAAACAGCGCAGCACTGGGGACCTGGAGAAGCGAAACGCCGGCGGCAGCATCCGCTCCACCAACAGCAGCGTCTCGTGGATGAGCACCGACTCGACCAAGTCCCACATCACCAACGGCAGCTACCACACCGAATCGAACGCCAGCTTCGTCGTGGAGGTGGGTCGGCTTGCGTCCCGTCGGAGTGGTGTAAGACGCCTGCGTTGTTCGCTTGGTCAGGGGTCAGCTAAGAAGATTGGTGGAGGAACATTTGGTGACAGAAGCTGTACAGGTAATGATTGTAGGAGTGAGATAGAGAAAGTGAGAGGGAGACGAAACCGGGAAAGCGACTGTCTCCAGCCTCGGGAACAAGCACAGCTACTCAATGTTGTTTCTGTGCGAGATGAAAATTCCGCATGCCCGATGATGTTCACGCAAGTACAATTGTCATCCATGAAATTTCAGCTATTGAAATACCTTGTCAAACAGCGTGGAACACCTGTCGACATGCCCTGGAGCGGAGCCGTGTTCGAGCTGCAGCGCTGTGTTGGGACCGACCACCGGCTGGCGCGCTCCACGGGCGCCGTGCGCGTGTAGCGACCAGACTCTGGTGTGGCGGCCACACGCGCCTGAGTCACCTAATCGGAGCGATCACCGGCGGCCAGGTGCTCCGCCAAGGCCGGCAGCACGCCGGTGTTAATGTGCCGAACACTTGTGGCTGCTCGCCGCGGCGTCGACGCGTCGCATCGGTGTTCCGAGTGACCAGAAGCGCTATTCGCGTGATGGCGCGACGGAAAGTGGGCCCCGCAGCTGTGGTAATGGCCGCTCATTACGGGATGTCGCACGGCCTAGTGCGATCCCTGCGCACTTTATGAAATTGGCGCTCTCCGACGCTGGCGGGACGGCGCATTACCCCGTAAACTGAAACACCTGCGCGGTAACGTTGCCCCAGACAGTCACAGAGGCACTCGGTGTACACACACTTATTTCCGCTTACATGTAGCTGTTGGACAATAACATTTTGTTCTATAGGTTACTGCAACGTGTTTGTGGTAGAGACTGCCGAACTGTGAGTGGGCACTTTGCCAAGGCGCGAACACCTGTAAAGATGATGCAGACACCTACTCTGGCGAAGTTTAGCGATGCCCCCTCCAATCAAGCAGACAGGCGTCTGGAGCCGAAGCAAGATACCAAGATCTGATCCTGGCATCCCATTAACATGGAACCTATGGAATCCGAAATTTACCACTGCAATCCAGGCACATGTCTTGAATAAAGAATAATTTTAACGGTGTTTCCCCTTCCCCAACATAAAAAGGCACCTTCCTTCATGTCCTTTGCCGTGCAATCGGGTCGTAATCTTGCCAAGTGCAAGCTGAGATTTATGGGGTCTTCCACAATTCGAGTTCATGACATTGCTTTGTGTTATCATTTGTACATGCCTTTGTAGACATCTGAAACCCGGCTTTTTACAGGAGCATTGAGCGGCATCAAATCAGGCAACTTGTGAAGTGCATTTGCAAGAAACATTGCAAGTACATAAGACCGTACTTTTTGCAATAATCCTGTCAGCATGAGATGTTTGTGCCTGCCACCGGTTGTCCATTGTGAAATTTCTCATGCAGTTTTGAATGTACGGCTCAAAATCGTTCTGACGAAGGCACATAACCAAAATCTTCATACATCTATCTTTCTTTACTTCCGGTTATTGGACTTAAGGCTAACAGCGCTGTCTTAAAGACATTAATTAGCACTGGAGCCAGCATGACATCCGTTGCAATCATCCTGTAAAGAAGTTTCTGGTTTGTTGTTTTCAGACCCGAGAATTATGTGAAATCAAAGCCACTGCCTAACTTCTTTCATCACGTCTGACCCGTCCTCTATAAGACACTTCCGGATGTTGATTGGGAACTTAAGATGCAACTCAAAATTCCAATGGCCGGACCAGCTGATCGCCAAGCTCCTCAACAGGACCACAGAACTGGGGCGCTGATGGTGCCGTGGCTGAACTTCGAGTCTGGCAAACCAGGGATGTAGGTTTGTTTCTCCACGGCGCCCGTTCCCCTCGCAGTCTGGGAGGCAGGAAACGCCATAGATCTTCAGCAACTGAGTGCATCGTAAAACATGAACAACAGCGACAACGGGGGCTACGTATTTTCTGCTCATTCTCAATTTGAGAACATAGCCTGGATAATCTGAGCTAGTTCTGACGAAAGCACAACATAGTTCAATCTGGAATACTAATATTTAGATATAAAAACTAGGTTTGAAATATAACAACTAGGTTTCACCACCCCTGATAAATATTTCTAGTACTAATTGTTAAAGACTGGTTACAAGTGCCTGGCTAGAGGCTTTTGCAAATGAACGGCCTCGTTAGCCTTGTATGCGCCGGGGTTGATCATGCTAACAATGTGCTGTCGGCTTATTCACTGGACCTTAGGAAAAATACAAGCGTTGACGTCCCGTGTTCAGACTTGATCACCGTTCTTTTCCACGTGAATACGGCACCTGTGCCGGGTAGACAATATAGATATGCGTATATACAATAGACAAGCATGTGCAGATGTGCATGCGTAAACTCGTTTGCATAATGGGAAGCTTTACGGATGTGTCGGTAAAACACAAGGCCGCGTCTTGACCTTGTGCTACGGAAATGCTGCGCAGAGAATCCATACATATTGAATCTGCTGAACGGCTGTTGTGGAGCTTCAGCGAAGCCCGACGGGCCCAGTCGGTTTTCAGAGGCAGGGGTACGACTATCCAGTGTTGCATCTTTGATAGAACATTCCTCTTGTTCGCACAGATAAATGATGAGCGCGGATAGAACATTGGTCTCATTCGCACAGGTCGTTGACGAGCGCGCTGTGTCACACCCGTGATAATGACAGGTATGCTATACGAACTAGTGGATCATTTACTGCAGGTCTTGATGCTGGAAGGCTGTGCTACAGCTCGTGAAGCGTTGCCCATGCTTGCCCGCCATAGTGCTCGATGATTTAGCTGCCGTCATCTCCAATTTGGTCATGCCCGTGAATGCGTAAGTAAAAATGACCAAGCTATTTTTCAGTTAATTGATTAAAATGAGCTTAATTTGTCTAACTTACGACCAATACAAATAGTGGTCAATCACGTGCTTTATGGCGGACTTTAAAATATTTCATAGACAGCTTTTCACGATTAGTAATGCTTACAGAGACAATGGCCCACTTTGAAAACAGTATGTGCTCCTGGCCCCCGTTTGCCTGGCTGCTGTCTATCTAATCTTTTATCTTTGACACTGATTCCGTCTGCCGCCTTTCCACCTTTGCAATCTCATTTTTCATTCGTATTTGACACGGATGATGATTACGATCGGCAACCTATGTCTGAATTTAACCGAAACGTGGTCTGGCTGGTGGGAGTTTTTCAGTGAGTTTGACCAAACCCTGAACAAGCCATTTTTTAGCTGAGCGGATTAAGAACCAGCTAGCGTGAAGTCAGTTCAGGGTCTATGGAAACGTCTAGCGGTGCAATACGAAATCCACGGGCCCAACATGTCACATGCTAATGCCATAGACGAACCTGGAAGCCTGAAGTACGCATGCTGCCCCCCCCCCCCCCCCACCGCAACTTCTCACGCCAGAAAAACGTGCCCCTATCGCTGCCTGGACGCCTTTCCTCCGTATATTTTGTCCGCCAGCGGTTGCCACACGCTCGCCCCGCCGACGTGCCCGGGAGCCGCGCACCGTCTCACCGCCATCTCTCTGCCGCACACATTCTCACTGCTATCCCTCTGCCGCACACCTTCTCACTGCCATCCCCCTGCGGCACACCGTCTCACCGCCATCTCTCTGCCGCACACATTCTCACTGCCATCCCTCTGCCGCACACCGTCTCACCGCCATCCCTCTGCCGCACACCTTCTCACCGCCATCTCTCTGCCGCACACCTTCTCACTGCCACCCCGCTGCCGCACACCGTCTCACCGCCATCCCCCTGCGGCACACCGTCTCAAAGCCACCCCTGTGCCGCACACCATCTCACCGCCGTCCCGCTGCCGCACACCTTCTCACCCCCATCCCGCTGCCGCACACCGTCTCACCGCCATCCCGCTGCCGCACACCATCCTACCGCCATCTTTCTGTCGCACACGGTTTCACCACCACTCCTCTGCGACACACCGTCTCACCGCCATCCGTCTGCCGCGCAGGACGAGCAGATGGACAGTAACGTGACGGAGACGTACATGGGGGAGTGGAAGAACGACCGACGCATCGGCTACGGCGTGTGCGAGCGATCCGACGGCCTCAAGTACGAGGGCGAGTGGTACAACAACAAGAAGTACGGCTACGGCGTCACCACCTTCCGCGACGGCACCAAGGAGGAGGGCAAGTACAAGAACAACGTGCTGGTGACGTCCAACAAAAAGAAGCACCTGTTCCTAATCCGCTCGGCCAAGTTCAGGGAGCGGATTGAGGCGGCCGTGAGCGCCGCCAGTCGAGGGTCCAAGATCGCCCTGCAGAAGGCCGACATCGCCATCAGCAGGTGGGTGTGGTGCCGTGGCGTTCCCGCAGCCGGAGGAGCTGGTGCTGGCCGCGTCGCAACGGCAGCAGACGTGTCTCGGTCACCGCTCTAGACGCATACAGCACAGCAGCAGGGTTAATGTCATTTTATCCAAAGTATGGAGGGGCAACTGCATACTTTCTTCTCTCTGTGACGCCCCTGATTAACGTCATCAATCGAAGTATTCTGCGGTCGTGCACTTAAGACATTTAACGCCTTTAGATATCATGATTAGATATTAGACATTGCTCACAATTTACCCCGAATTTTTACAGCTCACAATTTACTCCGAGATGTTTTGCGAAAGATTATTAGCGCCAACTATGTGCTCAAGTGTGTTAAAAATATTCTTTTGGCTGATCTTACTAGCAGCTTGCTGACGGTAGACACGTATTGCTAGCATGCAATACTTTTTTTTGAAGCTTTTTGTTGTCCTGGATGCTTGCACAAAATCTCCCGAAATGTCCTGAATAATGTTGAAAAGTTGGTGCAGTTTTCATTCATGAAGATGACAACAGAATAAGACAACAAACCACGCTAGAGTGCTCCATACTTAACAACATAAATAAGTAAGTGTAAAAGGTGTAAAGACTAAAAAAGTAAAATGCAAAAGCTAAAGGGGTAAAGAGTAAAACAGCATTCGGTAGAAAATCGAGTTAAAAATGGTTACAAGTGTTTCTACAGCGTACGATGTCAAAAAATTAAATGACAGCTTGCAGCTTCAACTATCCGCAGATATTCACGCAGATCAAATTCCGCTCAAAGTTAGCGTTTTTCCCGACAGGAGCAGTGTGTTAGGACAAGGTTGTTGCGCCGTGCCTCGCGAAGACTATGCCAGAAATCCTGCTGAAAAGTGCATTAGTCTAAACATTAATACTTGCTCGTATTACGAGCATGAATACAGCGGATGCGTCATAACTGAACGCTTTTCCGCACCCAGTCATAGCATTACATTAACCGCCGTGGTGCGCTATCATGAGGTAACATTTCCACGCTTAATTGGACATGGACATTGGCGGCAGATGAGATGGCCATAGCGTGTCTGAATTTCATCAGCCAGGATGCAGCTCAGCTGTATTTCCGGCATATCTGAACATTCAGCGGAAGTCATTACGAAACCGAGCTGGACTTGACGGAAGTTCAATAATCCCCGCCGCCGAGCGTGAAGTTGGACGCGTTTGATTTGGTTTCCGCGACCAACAGCTCTCACATCGTCTGCAAATCTAGTCGAATGCTACGAGGGGTGCCCTTAGCGCCATATGACCACAAACACGACGCACGTCGACCTTGACAAGGAGTATCATGACCCTCTGCGCATATTTGTTGAAACCTCACCCACAGCTTTGTCCGGAGTGAAAATGCGTTCGACCTGTACCCAGAGTTCGGATGCATCGTGTCATCACAATGGCACATCCCAAAGTCAGGTCAAACTTCCGCTCAAGCAGTGACGGCGCTTCCCCCTCTGATTACCGACGGGAGCTGCCCCGGAGGGAGCAGTGATGTTTACCCTCCGGGCTCTGACATGCTGACCTAGTATTTGCCGACTGACCACCGCGGCTGTGACGTAGATTGCCATGGCTGTGAATTGGGACGATGGAGTGGCGATTGACCTGTTCTGCTAGCGGGCAAATGCGGTGCGGGCTGTGGAGGCGATGTGGTGAGCACGCTTGGAACTTTGACGAGGGCCCTCGCCTGGCTGACCCAGCTAGCTGACGGTGGCAGCAGCGCCACACGCTGGGGTCATCCAAGGTCGACATCGGCTCAGGCAGCAGTGGGCGGCTTCGGCCGATGAGGCATGAGTTGCAGAGGTAGATCATGGCACGTGTCCCTAATGTGTGCACGTAAGGCGTACCAGTGCGTGTTGCCAGCCCCATATCGCTGGAAAGCGTGAGATAGCTTTGGAATTGGACGACGTCTTTGCGCACTGCATTACGTGGTAATGCAGTGCAAACCACTGGTGTAAAGTTCTTTGTGAGCACATTTCTCAAATTCAGCTGTAGCTAGATCATGACTGCGCGAATCGGACGGCGCTGCTCCTGGAAAAGAGAACCGAAATCAATAATGGATTCTGCCTGGTAACTAGACTCATGAATTCGAGTCGCGGGCGCGGCCTCAGGTCTATTGTCAAACGAACCGGCTCTGCTTCAGTGCGACCCTGGTGGAAGTACGGCCAGCCCGGCTGACGCCTTGCCATATTGAACGGGTACACCACGCGAGAGCGAGCGCATAGGGTTCTGTAATTTCGTATGCAGCGGACGCCGCGCCGTGTTCCACTATGCTGTAACGTCCCACACCGCTGTAACGTCCCACTACGCTGTAACGTCCCACTACACTATAACGTCCCACTACGCTGTAACGTTACAACACGCTATAACGTCACGCGTCATGCGCTGTCCTGGACCCATTTCCGGTGACCGACAGGCCACGAGAACTTCATTCATCGGCTCTGCTCCAGCCCGTGGAAACCACCGCGCCCTAGGCAGCGGGAGGTTCTGTGAGTTGGAAAATCGTGCTCTGGCCATTATTGACCTTCAAAATACCAGGAGGTACTGATAAAACGACGTTATCACGGAAGCGCTGGCTATTTGAACCAAATTCAATGTTTTGCCCTTGGACATGGGCTATATTCACAAAACTCAAGTTTTGCCAATGTACCAATGTTTCCTCCGCATCATCGCTTAGCCTGTACCTCTTGGTAAGATCAATGATCGTCAGCATAAGGTCTCCTAGCTCGCAACTGCTAAAAAACAGGAGCTAAATCCTCTTCTTTCTTATATCAAGTGGTGGGAGGTTGGTGCTGTGCGAATGCTTACCTGATTTGTTGTTATCCACATGCGACTCAGTCGTTCCCATCCTAGGTAAAAACCACAACATCACTGGCGCGCTGGATCTACGTCTTTCGGTGTTTACGAATCGACGTTACATACTCACATACATTGCACAATTAGGTGTATTGTAATTCAAAACGCCGTTATCTCATTGTTTTGGATGATGATGAAACCACAGGAAGCAAAAGACATTTAACCTCGATTATTAGCAAAAAGACATCGGTATAGCTCACAACCCCTCCCCAAACGCCCCACCACCGACTGCTTCTTCGGCTTCTGGTGTTGTTGCAAAAGATGGGGAGAGTTTAACCACAGAACTGAGAAATCCACGGTGCAATCATGATTTGAGGACTATGAGATAATTTGTCATCTAATCTTGAAATGGAGGTTTACTTGCGAATTTAATCGTTTTTTCATTTTTTTGTCACGCGATCTGGATTGCAGCCCTTCACCACAACAATTCCGTTTTTATATCCATATATATCTTTAACTTTGACACCTTGACTGTCGGAGCATGTGCGGAACCAACATCTTAGTTCAAACTCTTGAAATGCCCGGCATTTTCTTTTTATCGTTACGTAGGTCTGCAATTATATTTATATGTTCATCCAGGTACCACGTAATACCAGACGTTGATGAAATGGCTTTGGTCACCTTAATCTTTTCTTTTTTGATATACAATCCGTATCGAAACGTGAACCTGAATTAAGCACTAAACATGGTTTTTAAAGATCTCAGTGCAGTGCGACCGTATCTTAAAGCTCCAACAAACTAGAGGCACGTAACGCATGTAAGCAGGCAAGTAACTGTACGTACAGATGTGTGTCTTGGAGGCAGGAAGAGTGTTCTTACACTAGTGTAAAAAGCTAGGTTTGCATTTCACATCTCACGAAGTCATCACAGTTTACCAACTTCATCATCCATCAACTTGTTACGATTAAAATAGGATGTCAAAAAGGTGCATGCTGAGAAAACGGGTGTGTGTACTCCGTGCCGGGGAGACCGGAATAAAGGCGGCAAGCACACCCGAAAAAAGAAATAAGTTATAATCCTTAAGCAAAGAATTTGCCTGTTTCTAGTGGCTGCTGAAGGATCACCATATTGAAAGATGGAATACAAGAAGTGTTGCGCCGTGTTTCGCCGTCGTTGGTGTCGACCAACGGGTCGCTGGGTACGGCATCCACAAAACAACGAAACATTTCCGACAACAGGCATGATTTATGAAGGCCCCAAGCCATAGCAAAAACATGTTTCACCCTATTGCGTAGCTCGTTTGGATTGCTTTCTTGGATCGTTGGTGCACCTGTGCCTGGGGCGCAATAGCGACAACGTATACTAATGCTGTACGCTCGCGACAGAGGTAACGTGCTGGGTGTCGCGAGCCAAATTAAATGAAGCGGCATTAATTCCTGGACCGGGATGGGATGGCGATGGTAGGAATGATGTAATCTGAGGGGAACGCGGGGAGGTTGATGTCATCCGCTCATTGCTCATGCGGTGGGCTAAGGGGGTGGGGTGGGGTAGGGGCTGGGGAAGGGGAGGGGATGTAGAGGGAGGAGCGGGACCATAGAGTCAACGCCAGCCACAGTCAACGTGCTCCAATACGCATTTGCCATATCTGTGCACGATCTAAATGTAACATTTACAAATCGCGCTGCACGTCAATTGGGGCAGTATCGCTTGTAATACCACTCAGGGAACGGCTCATGAATGCAACCCACACTGGTGTGTTGATGCGCCGCACTGTACACTCATGAGTGAGATAAAATAACTGGGCACTTTCAAAAGCAAGTAAAACGATGTGCGCATGCTGCTCCTTCTTCGGAAGCCACGCCGACTGTGATGTAAGCACATCACCGTCGGCGCAGGTGTCAATTTCTAAAACTAACGGAGGCCCCAACATCCATTTTGGCCATCTGGGATCATTCTTTGCATGCATCTCGGCAGGCCCATGTTTGAATCCAATATTTTTGGGAACAGCAGCCCTGAAATAACACCCATGTAACACAACATTTGCTTTTCCCGCTTTCCAGCGTATTTTCCGTAGTGTTCAGCGCCGTGTCAATCAGGCAGTATCCGAGCGACCTCAAAGTCGATGCTTCACATGTGCGCCAGAAGACTGAGCCAGCAAAGTATTGAGAACATCTTCAGCTTTGAGCGGGCACTCGACCGAACGCCGCGCCTCAGACCCCGTGCATTCAACTAAAGTTGGGCAAACTTCTGCCCCACTTCATCGCGCCGCTCGCGGCAGAGTGGCTGCAGCTCCTCCGACCCAGCTGACGCTCGCACCAGCTGAAGGTAGCCCATGGCGCAGTTTCGTCAGTTCCGCGCGGTCGATGACGCTGTGAGCGACGTGCCTGCGGGCACACGGCTGTTTTCGGCGTCAGCGGCGCCGCACCCGGTCCCCGCCTGCTGACGCATGGCGTCAGTGGCGTCAGACCGGGTGGCGCATGGCGTCACCCGGTCCCCGCCAGTTCCACATGGCGTCAGTGGAGCCAGACCCGGTCGCCGCCGGGATATCATGGGGAGGACTGCATGGCGTCAGCGGCGCCGAACCCGATCTTCGCCGGGATATCATGGGGAGGGTCACACGGCGCCAGCGGCGCCGCACCCGGTCTTCGCCAGGATATCATGGGGAGGGTCACACGGCGTCAGCGGCGCCGCACCCGGTCTCCGCCGGGATAGCATGGGGGAAGGAGGGAGGGCTACATGACGCCTGCCGTCTATCTCAAGTCGGGCTCGCGAGGCAGGCAGCAGTGCCGGGGATTGCCCGGCCAGCCTTGCAGGGAGGGCTCCACTTCGAACTGCCGTCGTCACGGACCGGCCGATGTTTTCGAGTTCGGCCGGAACGGAGGCGGGGCGGCGCCGGAACTCCTGCTCCGACTTGTTCCGGCCACGGCCCGGCCACAGCTGTTCGCTCCCAAGGCCCGACCGGTCTCGCACCGCCGGGAAAGCGGGCCGCGGTGCCATCCGCGGGCCGCTGCAGTCCCGCTGCGTTAGTTACCGCCGTCAGTTGTGTTGAGCTTGTTTCCCCCAGCAGGCAGGCGGCGCGCAGCGGCGGCGGCGCCAGGCGCGGCTCGCTGGGCGATCGGTCGCCGTTTGGTGTTACGACCGCGGCGTGTCGGGTTGCAATGACCCCAAACCGCGGCGCCCTAGCTGACCTTGGGACCGCATTACAGAACGGCGACGGCGCGCGGCAAGGCGGAGCAGGCTGACATCGCCGCCCAGCATGCGCGGGAGGACTCTGGCATCGCGCGTGTGCACGCCAAACAATTCGCGCCAGACTTCCTGCAGCCTGGTAAGGGTCGCTTCAAGGGCATGGCGAGCGATCGGGTAACTCACTTGAGACTCCTGGGCAGCATAGTTACACCCACCGGGAGACGCCTGCTGCCTACGGGGGCTGCTCACATATAAAGGGAATGTTCCACATTGGTACTTATTGAAGCAAGTATGAGATATGATGGAATGAATCCCTTACAACTATTGGTATACCTTTACGTGGAGAGGACTGGTCCGGACAACGCTATTTTTTTGTGAAGTAGATATGCTGCTCAATCAATGAATGAGAAATGTAACTCTTTGTCTTGACTTTAAATGCCGCAGGCCCTGTGGGATGACAGGATTTTAGTGACGTCATTATCTAGTCACAGATGCCTGGATGACCTTCAAAAAGTCTACACGAAATACTCTGCACTTCGTCGCGGGCCTGTAACACAAAACACAGGGCTCAGGTCTTAAAAGGATAGGGTTGTGAGCTGCACCGAATCTACCATGAAAAATACCACGGAATATTAGGTCGTATGTGTAGCCAGCAAGCATTCTCCTAACGCTGCAGTGATTCCATAAAAGTTTGACCTTAACATGAACCCAGGAAAAGGATCATACTACTTGGTGACACTTTAATTGTGGCAGTGCTTTAATTCACAGTATTGTGACCGGCTACAAAACGTCGCAGTGCTAAAATGCGGATGTTTGGAATCTTTAGGGGCAAGCAATTAAAGTTTGGAGTAATGATTTTGCTCGTTCGGGGGAAAATGATAAAAACGACTATTATTTGAGTTGCCTTTACGAGTTCCCAGAGAAACGTGGGTGAAGAAGCTCAGCCGGGATCGTTCTGATAAAAAACTTCATGCTAGTCTCGTGTTCACAAGGAATACTAAGATCATCACCACAAGAGTACTTAGTTCGACCAAAACCCACGGACAACCAGCGTCAGTGGTGTTGGAACCTGACTGACATGGTGCTCACTGCCCACCTCTCCGGAGCTCGGCCCACATAATCACTGACATCCCACTGGGTTACCTCTGACCTGGAGGGGGGGGGGGAGACCGTGGCATGCGTGTTTCCGGTGTCGCTGACGCAGGTCCGGTCTCAGAGGTCGCTGGTCCGGACGGTCCGGACGGTCCGGACGTGGAGGTAATGACCCGAGACAGGGACCCGCCGAGGCTAATGGCCCCGGGGCGTGGCCGGCTGGATGGGGAGCTGAGGGAGAGAGGGGGGGGGGGGGGAGATGTGACAGTGCTGACTGGAGGGCTGCTAAAGTGTAACCGTACGTTGTGGGGAGTTGTTTAGGGTGTAAGGGTGTAACCGTGCGGTGTGGGTAGTTGTTAGAGTGTAACTGTGGTGACCCTGAGGATTGACGAGGTGTGGCTCTGGTAACTGGATTGTTGGTGGCGTGCTACTGAGAGAAGCGGAAATTTGTGAGGTGCAGCTAATGCCGAGGGAAGAGTTGTTGGGGTTTAGTTGTGCTCCCCGTAACTGGTTCGGTGTAGCTGAAAGCAACGGATAGTGGTAGAGCGGGTAGAACAGTTGGTGTAGCTGGGGAGCCAATGGATTAACTGGAGGGCTACTGAACTGACTGGAGTGTTGAGATGTGACTGTGCTAGCTGGACAGTTGGTGGCGTTGGTAGGTCCTGACTGGAGATTGATGGTGTGCAGCTGTGCTGACCCACAATCTGCTTTATTGGATGCAGCTGAGCTAGTCGAGACCTAAGAGTGTGTTTTGGGAACCTGATAGTCAATGGTGTGTTGTAAGTCATTCTTACGGTAAGGCCGTCTGTAACCAGACTCGCAGATGGTTTAGGTTTCGTCGGACCACGCACTAGTAAAGACAAATTAAATCATGGTAATCTGACTGTTGGTATGCATAGGATGGTCATTTTGGCGATATTTGAGCTGGCGCAATATGTGGTAAGAGCAAAAGAGAGCATAGGAGCAAAAATCACTTATTATCGTATGGGCGGGCGGGCTTCTATCTCGAGGCAGAACACGCCCAATCACCTCACTTAGCGGTTTCCTATGCTACCGCTGGCTGCTACAGGAATCGTATTTTTGATGCGCTCTATTTTTCTTGAAAAAGTTGCCGGTGAATTGTAGGTTTCAGTTTACTTGCAAAGCCATGTAGCGTTTCCTGCCTTTTAAGCGCTCATTTCCATAAAAACATGAAGGGCAGCGATCGATAGGCGGACGTGTATCCCGTTAAAGGTTCGAGGCCAGTTTAGCTGAATCCGGTAAGTTTTTTGCCGTCTCATCGACGGGCGCAACAAATCAATGCGTATGGATTTACGGGCGCGAGGGAAGGACTTGTCCAGCCGGCAAGGTCACCGAGCCTGCACGGAGGACACTTGTCCAGGCCTGGTTACTTGTCCAGCCGGCGAGGTCACCAGGTCTGCACGGAGGACACTTGCTCAGGCCTGGTGACTTGTCCAGCCGGCGAGGTCACCAGGTCTGCACGGAGGACACTTGCTCAGGCCTGGCTACTTGTCCAGCCGGTGAGGTCACCAGGTCTGCACGGAGGACACTTGCTCAGGCCTGGCTACTTGTCCAGCCGGCGAGGTCACCAGGTCTGCACGGAGGACACTTGCTCAGGCCTGATTACTTGTCCAGCCGGCGAGGTCACCAGGTCTGCAGGGAGGACACTTGTTCAGGCGTGGTGACTGTCGGGCGGCATTATTTTCATCCTGGCGTGCGGCCAGGCCCGACCTAGGCGTGCCGTTCCCCAGGTGGCGCCACCGCCCCGCCGGCTCCTCCGCTGGCGGCGTGCTCCAGCCGAGCGCCGCAGCTCACCGTTCCGCTTGACACACGGCTGTGTGCTCAATGTGGGCTGGTCAAGTACCGATAACTGTCCGCTGCGAGCCTTTAGATTTATGGCGACTTATGGCGACTTGGACAGGTCTTAGCTTTCTAGATGCATTGCATCATCGATAGCTGTAATTCTCAGCATAGTAGCGTTTGTGTTGCTTCGTCCCATGCCGATCGATGCACATTCATTATTTCATTTACGGTGCATCTGCATGTGCAAATATTTATAACGATGCCTCTCCAACTGTACATGTCGGATAGCGCACCGTGCCAGCACCGCCAACCGTCGCTCCGATGCCTGCAGGCTCCGAGGGCTACAAATCACGTCCGGACACCCGTGGCGGCAACCCCGAGCTCGCCGTGCCGCAGATCCGGACTCAAAGCCCTCCGCGCGAGCTAACGGCGCCCGAGCCGCCCCCGCCGCCCAACGGGCTACCGCCCGGCCTGGACGGGCCTGTGTCGGTGGCGGTGCCGGAGACGGCGCCGCCGGCGCCGGCGCCGGCGCCGGAGCGGCCGGGCGAACGCGAGCCGCCTGCCGGTCGGAGACCCAGTGCGTCAGTGTCGATCGCAGCGCCGCAGGGCGACCGCGCCAGCGTGGACTACTTCCCGGCGGCGCTGACGCGCGCGGACAGCGCGAGCCGGGAGCCGGCCGGCGAGCGCGCGCCGGCGCGCCGCTCGCGCGCCAGCCTGCAGGGCGCCGCCGCCATGAATGACCGCTTCGACCACTACCGGCGTGCGCCCAGCCGCGAGGGCTCGGTGGAGCCGGCGGCGCGCGCGCGCCGCACCACGCCTCAGCCGCCCGAGTTGACGCTGGCGGCGCGGCCCGGCTGCCGTTCCGATGCCCACTGCACGCCAGACTCCGGCGTCTTCGAGAGCGCCGACGAGCCGGCCGGCCGCGTCGCCAACGCCGCTGATGCACCCCGCTTCTTCATCCCCGATACGCCCGAGCAGGCGGCGCAGATGGCGGCGCCGGCGGCGGCCGGCATGAAGCGAACTGAGAGCATGTTCATGCCTGGGCCGCAGGGCCGCCGCGGTGGCACGGTAAGTGGCACCGCTGCTGCCGCCTGACGGCGTGGCCTGCAAACGCGGGTGTGGGACCCGGTAACGGGTGGGTGGGTAGGCAATCCATTTTCCAGCATATGATTGTCACTATGATGAGCTAGAATTTATAATTTAAATGTATGGGGTCTTGTTCGCCCGCTCATAGCAAGTGCAAGCTACTTCATGTATTATGCGCTGTTGCAGGCGCCGGTTTTTCCTATCTTCACGCTCTGCACTTTCACGTGCAGTTTTGCACACATTTAACGCAGAAGCAATGCAACACACTACAACAGAACGGTGAACAGAAACATCGCACACCACCATTACCTTTCACCTCTTCGGCATCATGTGCCCTCCACGGGTCGGCTCTTGTGATCGATGGCCAGCATGCGAGGACTGGAAACTCCCCAACAGCACGCGCCACTTTTTGGGCCGCGTCGCACCCAAGGCTGTGGCCGCCACCCTAAGAACGGCGGGCGTGATTCAGTGGCACCCGTGCGATACCCCGCGCCTGGCAGCGGGCGCTGGCACGTGGCCCCACTTGTGTTGGCAAACGGCGCCGCTGCTGCTAAGTGGGCAGGGCTGCGGTCCCGGCAGACCACCCGCCTCTCGGGAGACCAGAAATACTTCGCCACCGAAATCATCGGGGGTTAGGTTCGTGTCAACAATGCTGGGTGCTCGCGTGAAACGTGACGTCATCCGGCGTGATTACGACATGAGGATGCACTGGGTGTATGGGGATTCCCACAGTAATTGGCAGCCTGCAAGGAAAGCAAACAACGAAAATGCCACTGCAAAATATAGCGGACAAGCGAGTAATCCGCGCCGGTGTTATGTACATTTATGTACGTAATGTACATGCACACGTAAGGGCAACGTTAGTTTCCCATCTTGATGGCAAAGTGATAACCATTTTAGCTATTCCTCTCTAGCCAGAGCCCAGAGGGCCACGAATGGAATCATTCTTTAGACTATCGTTCTCGTCTGATATGTCCATGTGTATAGCATAGTGTGTGTTGGTATGCATACAGTGCACCACGCAGGCGTGACAGTCCGAACAACTTTTCCATCCGTGGCATTTACCCACAGGGGCAATGTTGAAACTTCTGATAGTGTGGGAGGGGAGGGAGGCTCATCCCCTTGACCTCCTGGTTCCCACACCGCTGTCCATCTACGTAAACATGCTGGAATCTGTAGAACACTGATGCTGTTTGGAACCCTGGCGTGTGACGACAAGTGTTCAGCATCATCTAAGAATTGAAGATCGTATGATTTCTGGAGCCAACTTAGCGGAGACCGCCATTACAGACGTGTGGCTGTTTGGATCGGTCAAGTGTCGGCGGCACCCATGCTCTTACTTCTGATATTTGTTTTTTGTTGGGGAGGGTGATCACATTACATTGCATGTATCTTTTTGTTTTACGCCTTCTTGTGATTGCACATCCAGAACGAAACTAATAACGATTTAGACCGGTGTCAGTTATCGCATGGTTGAATCTACCTGGCTAAAGACAACAATACATACCACGAAACCCATATTTGCGCGGCGATCCGATGTCCCTTGTTTGATGGGATAGTGATGTTATACCCCCGGCTTTGATCATGATCTTGTACCCTCATTCCCGATGCTGACCTCATATCCCAATGCCCATCACGACCCATGTGCATGGAAGCCCGCCACCCCCAGCTTCATGGGTGGCTCGATACGTTATCAAACGACGGTGACCGTGTCAGCATGACCGTGTCAGCTGTCTGTGTCAGCGCTGACGACGACTCCATATATCAGCGCCGTCGTTGGTCCAGCACTGCTACTGTTGGTGATTCGCCCCACCAACACCAGTAGTGATAAGTTACCCCAGCATCGCCGGAGATTCCATATCTCAACGCCAGTGAAGGCCCGACAGCCATTCATTGTCGCTGCCACTGCCGGCGGCACCAGCGCTGATTTCTCTGGGGGCCGGTCGGCGTCGCACCGGGGGACCGATCCCTCCGGCGGTGGCGCGGCGGCGTCGCTCTTTACGAGCGGCGCCGTCGGCGGTCCCCGGCGGTTCCGGCGCCGGGGCAAGGCCAGGACGGGCCGCGGCAGGCGCCAGGCTCGCGGGAAGGACGTCATGCGAGGGTTGCCGGTCGGGATAAGTGTACCAGGCGCGGGCTATTGGATCAGGGGTGTCAGAACAGGGATAGACTAGTTGGGGGGGGGGGGGGGGGGGGGCAGGCGACGATTGTCAGACGACCGGAGGCCACGAGACGAGACCCCAGACGCAAAACATTGGACGACCGATGCCAAACGAGGCGTCACACTTCGACGACAGGCCAGGGGCGCCAGACAGCAGATGTCAGACCAGGGACGCCAGGTGCAGACGTAGGTGGACACTGTACTGGGGCTGATAGACTGAGGAATCCATGTGGGCGTTAACGAGACCAAGAATATCGCACATTTTATGCGGAACAAAGAGCTTCTATTCCCGGTATCCACGCCACAAACAGTACAAGCTCCGAGCCCTGCCAAAGCCGAGATAGTCGAGAGAAGCAGTCCAGTTATCACGCCCGGCTTGGGCTGGACTGTCAAATGTTAGACATATTTGACACATTCTCACATCGCTTTGATGTTGGAAGGACAAGGAGGCGCAAGTAAATGCACCGCGTTGATTTCTGCGCTGAAATGAAGCTGACGCGCGCGGCTGATACCATCGTCACGTTTGACGACGCTTCTGATTGGTCTAGGCCAAAGTTAATCGTTGCCTGATCTCCTAGCACATCACTAACGTGGCTGCCCGAGGCCCGGACGTGTGCGTGAAAGTTCAACTCGTCGACAAACTGCTAGATAAAGTGGATTCTTCCCGCATTTTTTTAGTCGTCATGCGTGTCAGAGAGCGGTTAATTACCAGCCTGACAGCCTAAAATTGAGCCTTTCGAAGAGTTTTCTTCCTGGATGTTGACTAGCGTGACCCAGCTGTGTTCGAGAACTAACCGGGCCCGTTCAAGCTAACCAGCCCAGTGTTGCATAGCTTGAGACTACTTCCATTGCCCCATTAAGCTCAGCGCCATTTCCAAACAAGAACACCTGCGGCCTGCCTCCCAGTTAGTAGTCAGACTTGGTTTCAATAACGCATTAGAGACGTTTTATCAAAATTTGGTCCAAACGGTCCGCATTCACGGTGCTGAACATTGTGCATGTGATAGAAAGGCACTCTCAGAGGACGAGGCAAGTCTAAAAAACGGAGTCCCTCGGACCATTTTCTGACTCCTTTCTTCCATACACCGCCGTATGGTTAATATTAAACTTCCACAAAAAGTGAGGACACCATAAGAGGCCATGCAACGTGCTCCGTCAGCACACTTCTATGTCTGTTGTGTGCTTTGATTAATGTAGAGCCAGGTCTTATATAGAGAGTTATAACGCTGAACGGATTGGGTTCCCGCTCTTGCCTTCCAGGACATCGCAGATGGACGTTTTCCGCAGGCCGTGCTACGCCGCGAAAAGGCCTTCCAGTATCCGCTGACTTCTCCGATCGGCTGTCAGTTGATCGTGACACATGTGTCAGGCCAGAGCAACTCAACCCAGTGATCATGCCTGGGAGCCTGGCAAACGCACCTTGAGTGAAAAGTTCTAGCAACTGATCTAAACGGCCTTGCGTAGCTTCAAATGCCTCTTCCCGTCAAATTTTCCAGGTTTTTGAATGATGTATGAGTTCCTCCTGCTATTTGTATGCTTTTGTTTAAAGTACACAACTGGAAAATGGGTTTCTGACTCAGTACAACCAAACACAAAGGTCTAGTTTGAATTATTATAATAAACTAGTGCCCTCGATTGTCTACGGGATTTCCTGAAAAAATACCAAGTACCGGGCGCTGTTTTTGCCAGCAGGTGGCGCAGATATCACTAATTAGGTTCGTTGCTCAATGGATGAATTCCTCCTGCCAGTTGTTCAATTTTGTCTAGGCCACATAGTTGGAGAAATTCCACTACGAACGTTCTAAGATAGTTTCAAACTGCTTCCTGGCCCCATTTGACAGGGAGTCGCATGGGTGTATCTTTCACACTCTCTTTCCTAATTTCTTGGAATGCTGGCAATAGTAATAGCCTTATTCTTCAGAGAAAAGCCAGGAGAATAGAGATATAGTTGGACTAGCCCAACAACATCTCCATTCTCCTGGTTTTTCTCCGAGGCATAAGGCTATTGCTACTGTCTTATCCATGTGAATAATGTTCCTCGCTAATGTACTGAACAACGTACGTAATTTCTCGGAATGCATCTTTTCCTGCTGAATGATATGAATGTCGGTTTTGAAGCATGCATCTCTGTCTCATCTCATGCTTATATTTTAACGCCGGTCGCCATACAACACGTAGTTTTAGTGTTATAACATTTTTAGAAACACTGGTGATTTACGGGTGGTTTGAGGCGTGTTCGTGATGCAGATGGAATATTCTGTTGGGTCGTTGACCGCGTCATTGTTGGAGCAGTATCCTTAACGAGGACGTTAGCCCGAATGGCAAACCCATCTTGACGAAGTGAGTCTATAAAGCTTGTTGCAACTTCAATACCCATTGTAAATCTAGGTCGTGTATAGCACGCTCCGTATATTATCCGTCGCGTTGCAAATATGCATACACACTTCAGATAAATCACGGCACATTTGCAAATACCATCCTACTTATGTGCCATCGCATGCAGTGTTTGTTGTTTCCTTTACAACAATCTCCAACTTCGCATTTGTTCAGAACTTATCTTACTCTCGATTGTTTCACAGCTGTTTTTAGTTCAGACCGCTCCATGGTCATCCACATTCTTGACTGCTCCCTAGCCGTGTGTAACTTACAGCTCTTTCATTAACCATTTATGGCTTTCAGCAACGACCGCCTGGAGAGTCAGAGTCATAGGAGCCACTTATATCGCGCGGCCGTCTCCGGTCCTCGGCTGAACTGTCTGTGACCGCCGCTTCCTCCATAGCCGTCCGTAACTGCTGCCTCCTCCACAGCCGTCCGTGACTGCCGCCTCCTCCATAGCCATTTCTAATTGCTGCTTCCTCCACAGTCTTCTCTGAATGACTCCTCCTCCACCGTCGTCTGTGACTGCCGCCCCCTCCACAGCAGAATCTGACTGTCGCCTCCTCCACAATCGTCTGTGACGGCCGCCCCCTCTATAGCCGTCTCAAACTACTGCTTCCTCCGCAGCCGTCTCTGACGACCACCACGCTGCAGCGGAAGAAGTCGATGCCGGACGCGGCGACGCTGCCGGTGAAGGCTCGCGTTATGCCGCGGGAGGAGGCCAACTTCCTGGCCGCCAGCCAGCGGGACGCACTGCGCCGACAGGCCGAGGAGGCGGCCATGTACCGCGCCAACCCGCTGCTCTACGTATACAATCCCAAAGTCAAGGTGAGCGCGGCCCGTGGGATTGCTAGCGGCACATATTTGCCAACTCTGTGGTATGAGTCTGCGCTATGTGTCACCTGTGGAGTTGTGTGAATTCAGGTTGTTCTGAACCCTGTGGAGCTGCGCGACGTGGTGTTTTTTTTTTGCACTTGCAACGATCACTAAACTCACCAACACTTGTGGTGTTGGATCACCTTAGGAGACAGTGTAATTCGATGGCAGATCGTGTGACTGTTGTCAGTCTAACTGACATGAGTAGACTTCATGCCCCACGCGGGGCTTACGTTGATCGTCAGGCTAGGCGATGTTCAGCGGTTGACCCCACTATTCCGTTGCAGGATTGGTTCTCCAGGCAGCGGCTGGTACTAGCCGTAATCATCATCAACATCTCATTGGCGATCCTGTTCTTGAAGCTCTTGACATAGCAGTGGCCTTACAACCAGTGCTCGTGCTACATTTGTACTTTGAAGCGCCGCCAGTCGAGCCGTGATTGGCCGAGAGTGGGCCGCGTCTGCAACCCAGTGACCAATCGGTGCCTTGACCCGCGTGCGGGAAAGCGACCTGTCTAGTGTCGACACCGACGCGAGTCATCAGAGAAAGCGACGACCGAATGCGAGATATTTTTCACCAGAGGCTCAACCGAGCCTCGGCCTCGTGCCTTGAACTCGTTTTTAATTCGTAAAATTAGTGTTTTTCTGCCTAGTGGGCGGTTGTGAATATTTCCCATCGTGTTGTCACCGAATCAAACCCGTCGGGTGATGAAAGTGAGCCTCCTCGTCTGTAATTGATCTTCGCCCTGGTGGCCGAGACCAGAAAGGGCTTGCTTCCCCCTGTGCTCACCCAGATTCGAATGTGCCGACCTGATGATTCGATCCTTTTTGACTCTATGCTTCCTCTTCTTTCGCATGTCTTTTTGCATGCCATTCTGGCGTTCCATTGTGTTTGTGCAGTTCCGACACGCATACCCACCGCTGTGAGCGGACGCTGTGCGCTGCACGATGCTCACACACCCCTATGACGATGCACGGCACCCGCCAGCAGCTGACCTGTGTGGTTCGGCCACCGCTAGACGGCAGCACCAGCCGTCGCCATTAGCCGTGATCGCACGCCCGCGAGCCTGTCCAACGAGTGCCATCAAGTCCTGGCCCCGTATCTGCATAGTAAAAAGGCGACATGCCGCTAGCATGTGCAGCCCGTCGTCACCCTCCACTGGGATCAGTAGACTGCTCTACTGACAAGAATCCGGCCGGGGATTGGTGCGCAATGGACCTTCTACGCGGTAGATCGAAGCCAATAGCATTTGCACCGCACGCTCATGTTTTTGACCATTGATGGATTATGTATCCGTTGAAGCAAGCAACCGAAGACACACATTTTCCCAGCAACTGCCGACAACTTTAACCTTGCATAAATACAAACCACAGATACCTATACTGACGTTTGTGAGCTCCTGAGAACTGATGGTGGACGTCTGGACGGATGTTTCCCATTCGAATGTTGAAGGCCGTATTGTGGTTCGCGTCCCTCCATTCTGAGGTAGAGAGGACCGGCATGCTAGATATTTTCCTGCGGAATTAGCCCATATATGGTTTCCCAGGGTGAAATCAAACCGTTAGAGCGTTTGCAAAGATAAGCAATCGATGTAAGTCGGAGAAGATCGAGACGCCTCCTTAGCAAAACGGAACGAATTTTAGAGTTCAGTAGTTTACTTCCTGCTCATTTAATGCTTGAATAGCCAACGACAACAAAATATGGCACGTTCAGAGAACTTTTCACACTGCTATTGTTCGTTTCAGTCAGTCAGTTCTGCAAGAGGAAAGCCAGTGGTCAGAGGTGGCGGCGACCACCATCATTTGTAAAAGTTGCGTGACAAATAACGACATATGACCCACGTCTTTATCTGCATACTTTGTGACAGTTGTCTATTATTTTTGCGTGTTTTGTGTTCAACTTTGAGTAGTTTATGTGCTTTGCGACAGGCGAGCATCCAGTATGCTTTGTAAAAGCACGTTGAGAGCCGAGGAAAGGGGTGCTGAAAGGCCGAATTGATAAGCAACCAGCTGCATTAGCATTTTGCTGCCTCTACCCAGAACACCAGCCTGTTGCTTAAAGGAAGTATTTCACATTTGTGTAGCTTTTTAAAACTGAAATAACCACCTTGAAGACCATTCAGTGCAGTTCACTGTCCTGCCATTCTTAAGACATAAATTCCTCTGGTTTCTGGGCTGCATGCTCGCGGAGGTATGCAAACTAATTCGGGGATGCTACTTCAAGGTCACCCAAGCACCCATGACACCATTATCACGTCATTAAAATGCTGCCATCCTATTGACCACTGCAAATGGGATTACGGTGCAAATAAATCTTACATTTGATGGCTGAAATATCCCAATAGCACGGGACAATAACGCTACTCCCTAGACGAAGGGTGGTAACGTCTGCGTCGGCGATGGTTCACGTAGCATAGGGGATGCCCATCACACGTTTACGCGAAATTGGCTTTAGAAAGAGGATTAGCCTGACTTTGTTACTTTTTCACGCCATTTATCACTTCGAAGACTCAAAGTGTTAAAGCAATTGATTGGTCTCAACGAGATGTCACAGCTGACAATGGGTTTCAGACTGCTAAATCAATGTTAAGTATGCTTAACACCACTAGACCAAGTCAAAAGGTAAGTTTTCCTGAAAAAGCGGACTGACAGCTTGAGCCATTTCTGCTTTACGCACCCATCTATACGAAGTCCTGCCACAAAACAGTGCAGAACTGACGCAGACGTGTTCATTGTTTGGCTCCAGGTATGTTTTAGGAAAGTTTTGTGTGCTTCGAGCATATCATTATGAAATAGACCTCAGTTCATGAGCCAGGTCGTTCCCGTCGCCAGGGGTTGGCGGATTTGTCGGTTGTTGGTTGTTGGCTGATTTGTCGGTTGCCGTCCACCGCTCGCGCTTGCCGTAGGTCGCCGAGCAGTGCTCCTATACTTAGAAATGGTCGCTACTCAGAAACCAGAAATGCCAGAGATACGTTTTTTTTTGGTCAAAACACGCGCAATGCATGCCCCAACGACGCATGAACATCTCGGAAGGACATCTTCAGAGAACCTTAGGGATAGGGGGCATCGGCTCTTCCCTACCAGGGCGACAGTTAAGTGCAGTCTTAGTCCGGTGTCCCCTGCTACACATTGGCCCGTTGGGACTGGAGGCTCTCCCCTATCGGGGCGACAGTTAAGTGCAGTCTCAGTCCGGTGTCCCTTGCTACAAACTGACCCGGCGGGGCTGGAAGCTCTCCTCTATCAGGGCGACAGTTAAGTGCAGTCTCAGTCCGGTGTCCCTTGCTACAAATTGACCCGGCGGGGCTGGAAGCTCTCCCCTATCAGGGTGACAGTTAAGTGCAGTCTCAGTCCGGTGTCCCTTGCTACAAATTGACCCGGCGGGGCTGGAAGCTCTCCTCTATCAGGGCGACAGTTAAGTGCAGTCTCAGTCCGGTGTCCCTTGCTACACATTGACCCGGAGGGGCTGGAAGCTCTCCTCTATCAGGGCGACAGTTAAGTGCAGTCTCAGTCCGGTGTCCCTTGCTACTAATTGACCCGGCGGGGCTGGAAGCTCTCCTCTATCAGGGCGACAGTTAAGTGCAGTCTCAGTCCGGTGTCCCTTGCTACTAATTGACCCGGCGGGGCTGGAAGCTCTCCTCTATCAGGGCGACAGTTAAGTGCAGTCTTAGTCCGGTGTCCCTTGCTACAAATTGACCCGGCGGGGCTGGAAGCTCTCCTCTATCAGGGCGACAGTTAAGTGCAGTCCTCAGTCCGGTGTCCCTTGCTACAAATTGACCCGGTGGGGCTGGAAGCTCTCCTCTATCAGGGCGACAGTTAAGTGCAGTCTCAGTCCGGTGTCCCTTGCTACAAATTGACCCGGCGGGGCTGGAAGCTCTCCTCTATCAGGGCGACAGTTAAGTGCAGTCTCAGTCCGGTGTCCCCTGCTACACATTGACCCGGTGGGGCTGGAATGTTTTCCACCGCCCTCCAATCGCTTGGGTCAATTAAAAAAGAAGAAAATTAGCATAATAAACAAAGCTATCCTTTTCCTTCCAGCGATCCTTTTCCTAACCTGCCGTAGCACCACCTGTTAACCATTTATTTGCGTTCGCGCGGAATGAGGACCCGCTCTTACTGAGACACTTTCCCCTGCTTTGGCTCGAGGTGGTTTCATACATCAGCCACTGTCTATTGATACCGTTTGAGGTTTTATGCAGTTATTTTTCCAACAAAATCCAAATATCTCCTGAGCCAGCCAATACACTGCCTCAATCATTTAGCTAAAATGCCCAGTATTCACAGCCTGTGAACTAACAAACAGACCTTGAATGTAAACCGAACAGCAGGGTGTGTACGTATCTAGTCTTCATGAAATTAGGGATTGCTACAAAAAATAATTCGGAATCACTAGACACCCAACCAACAAATTGCATAAGGTGCCCCGGCGCCGGACATGTTGCCATATGAATAGCGTGGTCACATTCACATGTTCTTCAATATTCCAACCTAGCTTGATTTGTGCGTGAAAATGAACTATGGGCACACGATACCATACCTGCGGACATGATACTACTGCCATACCTAAGGACATATACTGCGTGGGATGCCATACCAAACAAGATGCCTGCAAGATCTCAAAACGTCAGCGTCGCGCTCGACCAAATTTGTTTACAAAGTATGAAACCACCAAAACGGCTAAACGGCTAACAGCCAAAAAACGGCTAACAGCTAAACGCGGTTTCCCCAACTGTATACTCACATCGCGTTTGACAAAATCTTAGTCGGTTGAGCTGGCAAACTTCCAGCGGCAAATAATGGGTGCTGCATTACGCATCCAAAAGCCGCATACGTAAGTCAGTGTACGACAAAAGCCTGAGCACGCAATCTGCGTTCCCATATAAGTGACAGATGTGCATCACATGTGTAATAAGCACGAACACATGCACATCGCTTGCATAACGCTTTTCTGCAGATTACCCCCTAATGAGTAGATTGGGCACAGCGACAGCATATAAACACTGGTACGCATCACACGTTAATTCAGCATGCGCTACCGCAGGCGGTTACGAGGCATTTAGCACGCCTACAGGCACAGGTACACGCAAGTACGAACGTTCGCCAACAGGTTACGCTGCACACACATTACTAGGGACGCCGCAGAAATATTCCGTTGCAAGGGTGGAGATCAGGTCCTTAAGACAAGATTTTGGTGTTGTTTTCATTTTTAGCGGTGATGAAGGGGATATTTCCACTTCACTTTGGGGAAGAGACAAACACGTGGCCAGAGCCCCGAAATACTTGCTCCACCTGTGTGTAGAGAAGGCTACTATTCGTATGGAAGGCTGAACATTTTCGAGACAGGGACGAAACCGAATTCGGAGACTCGGAAAAGTCTTTCGGTACACTAGTCATACTATCACAATCATCGGCATTTTTCTTCGGAACACAGCATTAACGGCTCAGGTCAATGCTAACGAGATGACAACGTTTAGTCTGATTTAGGTCCATCACAACCACTCCGAAGTCCGATTTTTAGATTCAGTTTGGCTTTCACAAGAACCGTAGAGCAGCGGCACTATATGCGGTGGCAGTTTTCTGGATCCGAATTGGTGTTTTCATAGTATCGGGGTCAGAATATCGGTCATGGGAGTAGTTGGGCTGTGTTTGAAGTTTTGGAAGAATGAAATGCATGACTGCATCTGCCATTTGTTTCAATAAGTTGCTGACAATATTATTTGGCTTTACCGTGGTAACATTCATGGTGGAATTGTCAAATATTTATTCGATATCAGTGCAATGCAAAATTATGGGTAACGTTCCATGAATACTTGACAGTTGACTATACTTGACTGTTGAATACTTGACAGTACTTCCATGACAGCTGAATTGAACGTTCGACCCTCAAAACGCCGTTTATGCCCGATTTCATCCAAAGACGCACATTTTTCCTGACCACGTGAGCAACAGAGATCGGTTGATTCGGGAACAAAATAACTTTTTTATTGGACGGTGATGGCTGTCGAGAGACGCGCGCGGGCGCACTGGCTGATCCAGGGGGCTGAGCAACACGGTTATGCCGCCCTTCCAGTTACAGGAAGGGTAAGTGATAATGTTTATAACATTTTGAAACAAGGGCCTTGTCGATCGGTTGCGAGTAATTTTTTCAAGGGCGCGTCAAATGCAACGGCTCTTTGCGACGGTTACGTATCAGTGCAATAGTCTGCGTGACCGTCACATACAAACATAATGGGGCATGCACGCGGAAGGAAGAACAAGATGCTGACAGCTGTTAAGGCTTGTGTCTATCCAGTCTCCTAGCATTTTTGGAAACCGAAGATGAGGCCATGGCATGAAGCACGGGACACAAATTTAAGGAACTCGCAATGCGTAAAGGAATCTTGTAGCTGACGCTACCAAACCAAAGATGTCTGCCACCAAAACGTCAATTCCCAAGCTCCAATTATGGCGATAGCAAGACAGTTAAAGTAGTCAGCTTCTCACGCAAGTGACGACACCGGCAACACGCGAGTTCTTTCGTCGGGTTGTCGCAGCGTGATTCTGTGTAAGTTCAAAGGTAGTCAAAACTTATAAGCCGGAAAGGAAAAGCTTGTCTCTCTTCACAAGCTGTTGCCTCAGGTTTTGCCAACTTCTTAACTTAATGCCTGATTGTTGGATGGGTCATTTGTATCGGTCCAAAGAGAACATTTTTGGTGGAATGTACCATGTGTATGATTGATTTATGTGAGTGGAGCAATTTTGTCTCCAATTTTATCTTTTTGAGGCAACTGTTTTCATCTATAATTAGTTACTGACCAGTCTGCAAAAATCCATCTACCATACCAAGTGCTTACACGTCTGCATCTGCATGGGATTGGCTCACTCAATGTGTAGCATATGTGCATCAAACTTAAGCTAGGTAAAATTGTGCTGAACTTTCAAAGTGATTTGTACCAATTTTTGTGGTGACAGTTTGCTTAAAGTTACTTAAGTACAAAGCACCATCATAAATCTTTGGATTTTCAAAACAATTGCCCTACACACTAAAGTTTGTGATCATGAGCTAAAACTTGGTTATCAGATTTATGGTGTGTGTGCACCTTAAACTGCTGCCTGAATGTCTGCTATGCCAGGGATGTTTGTCATCACATGTATTTTGACACCTGGGGTATTAGCTAAGTAATTTTGGACATAGAGACATTCTTAGGATGCATTATGATGATCCTGGCGTGAAGATATCAAATGACTGAGGGGCTCATGCCTGTTACAGTTGAAACTACAAAATAACACCACTATCATTAGGGTTATGGAACAGAGTAATGTATAAGGCGTGTTGCTTTATTACATATTTTTGTCTGACATTATACATGGATGGTCCCTTAGTTGCTCTTAATGGTGTGAACATTGGGAGTTTTATGATATCTGATTTTGATATTTCATTGATGTTATATGGAAGTACCATGGTATATTAGCTTACAACATTTTATGGTTTATTTTAGGATACTTGGGCTGACCACTCTTTTCTAATATCAACTCTGACAAGCCTCAGCAAGTGTAGGTTCTGTGCTTCATGAATGAGCATGCAAGATAAAACAAAATTTAAACAAAAGTAAATCAGTTATAAATGTGAATTGAGTGTATGAGGTACCATGTTCAATGTTTAAACCCCACAACAGTCCTCAAGATGCATGTAGAACACAATGACAAAATATAATCACAAAATAATGAAATGATAAGAGATGAATGGTTGGAAACCTGCAGTTTTGAATGCATGCGCTCAGTTGCCTGCTCAGATACAGGTTATCTTGTTGTGCATAGTGCATGCAAGAAGTCTGCAGTGCATTCAAATTGATGAGTATAATATGCACTTTGCTCTACAAACTATATGAAATTCATTGAACAAATTCACATACAATTGTGGAAAAATTCGCTGCAAACTTTTGGCACATTTTCTTGAATGTTTCTCTATGTCATCACTATTCCAAAGCTTAACGTACTGTTTTAGCTGCAGCTTCAGTAATGCCAGCAGATGTAACAGTTTGTACCCATGAAACATTATAACTGCATTCTGCCTGGTGTTTGCTGTGTCAGGGTGTGTGTGTGTGGGGGGGGGGGGGGGGGGTCAGGGGAATTTGTCTGAGTTAGGATGTCTCATAACTCTACCATGAATCTGCATACTTATTGACTGCCTAGCTATTACCAGGTGTGCTGTGGATGAATATCAGGTGCTGCATAACTCACCAACCTCTGACTTTAGAGATCATGCATGCAAGGCCAGATGGCTTTGTATTCATGCTTGCACAATGACCTATCATCACAATTGTTTGCCTTACAGGCACGCAGGTGATGCAGCTGACATGAGCGGCCTCTCTGTCCGTCTGGAGGTGCCCTTCGCCAGTGCCCGGCAAGCCGAGATCGCCTACAACTCGCTGCGTGTGGATAAGGAGCCGCGACGCGCCACCACCACTCGCCAGCTCTCCCTGGAGGGCGAGCGGATGCTGGTGTCCTTCGACGCGCCGGACGCCCGCAGCCTGCGCACTGCCGTCAACGCGTTCATGGACCTGCTGGTGGTCGTCACACAAACGCTCGAGCGCTTCAGCGGCGATCAGCCTGCCGCGTGTGAAAAATGCTAATCTTTGTGTGTGGAACGGGTCGAAAGATGGCGCTGCGATCGCCGTGGCCGCTGCGAAAGCGGCCGTCGTACATACGTGCTGTTCAACGGCTGCTGTTCACTGAGACTGGTGTGTGGGTAAGTTAGACGGGCATGCCAGGTGTAGCTTGGTCATGTGTTTTACTAGCTCTTGGCGTGTTGTCCATGCATGATAGATGCAGTATGAATCTGTCTTTTAACAGTGATGTGTTAATGTGCTTAAGCTTGCCATTGCCCGGCAAGTAAGCTTTTTCGAAGCTTTTTTTACAATATAAAGATGATTGCAGTTGATGATTGTCATCACACGAGTGCTATTGTTGGACAGCCTTCACTTCATATGCATTTCGTCGTCAAAAGGATCCAGTTCCGTACCATTATCTCCACAAAACCATACTCACCCACCTCAGACCTGATCCCCCGTCCCCTCTGTTACCGCCGTACCCCCGGTGACCGCCGGCGTCGTCCGTCGGCAGGGCGAGCTGACGAACTCGGAGCGGCTGGCGGCCGAGCGGGCCTGGCTGGCGCGGGTTAGCGCCGCGCCGGCGCCGCCGGAACCTGGCCAGCCCAGCGCCTACGTGCTGGCCATGTTCCCCTACCCGTCCGGCCGGCTGCACATGGGCCACGTGCGCGTGTACGCCATCAGCGACGCGGTGGCTCGTTTCCATCGGCTCATGGGCAAGCAGGTGCGCGCGCCGGCCGGGCTGCGCACGACGCCGGCTGTGCGCGGTATAAAAAAGACGTGACATGGTTGGCATGGGAAATGGCAGGCTGTCGAATGAATGGAATGCAATGCGATCGCGGTCGTCACTGTATGCATTGTCAGGTCACCCGACTGGCTGTCTGGTTTGCTGATGGTAGCTTTC